TTGCTGTATTTACTGACAAGATTTTTCAGTTCGAAATACTGCTTTTTCCACATCTGTGCCTTTCATTTCTTTTCCCTCAGTTACGTTAGCTAGGACTTCCAGAATAGTGTTGAGGGTCTCCCTCCATTGTCTCCACCTTTAGTTGGAACACCTTCAGTGTTGTTTTTTTTTTTTTTTTTAAATTTACTCAGTTGAATTCTGGTTTTTTATTTATTTATTTATTTTTCCCCCCAAAGTCCCAGTAGATAGTTGTATGTCATAGCTGCACATCCTTCTATTTGCTGTATGTGGGACACGGCCTCAGCATGGCCGGAGAAGCAGTGCGTCGGTGTGCGCCCGGGATCCTAACCCGGGCCGCCAGCAGTGGAGCGCGCGCACTTAACCGCTAAGCCACGGGGCCGGCCCGCCTTCAGTGTTTAATATGCTTGCTTGCATTTATTTGAGATAAATCTTCATTGTATTTAGATGGTCTCCTAGTCTTACACTTTGCTAAGAATGTATAAAGAAATGCTGTTGAAGTTTGCAAATACTTTTTTTTTAAATGTAACGATGCTCATGGGATCCTCTTCTCCTTTTAATCCATTATCTGTAACAGTCTACCCTAGTGGGATATCATCCTTGTATTCCTAAAACAGCTTTTTATGGTCATGGGCTATTAAAACTTTTCTGGATTGGATTTTTTTAAATGCTTTTGCATCTAAGTGCAAAACAGTGTTTATTGAACACCTTCTATGTGCCGGTCCTGTCTGTGAAGATAAAATACAATGATAAAGGAGGCGACAGAGTCTTTTTCCTCGGAGACTTTGTGGTAGGGTCTGAGTATAGCACTCTCATTTTCTGTTGGGTTCATACATCTTCAAGCACGTATCTGATTATTAAATTGTTATTGGTGGACTTTCTGGGACATCCTTGGACAGACTTCCCCCTCAGTCTCGGCATTTCATTTGATTGTATCAGGTAAATCTTTAGACGACTCCTCTTTTTGCTGCTTCCCTCCTCGCAGCCACCTCCGAACACGTATCTTGTGTTTTCTTCAATGGTAGGCATGGCTGCTGTTGCCAAGGAGGCAGAAGCTGGACTGGGGAAGTGAGGGTCAAGTGGGTAGAGCAGTTAATGCTTTTGATTGGCCAGAGGCACGGTCACGGGAAGAATTCACCTGGGATCTGGGTCTGCCCAAGGGGAAGGTGAGTATGGGGCCCTGGCAGGTACTCACTCAGTGTCCGGCCCCTCTGAGTTGCCTTTTGGGCTGCAAATGGGGGCCAGGGTGAGTCAGGGGTCAAAGAGTTGGGTCACTTGGCGTGGAGGGCACCTAACCTCCTCTCATAGGGCCCCCTTGTGTCGGGTAGCCTTGGAGGAGAGCATTGACCAGTGTTTCCTTTCTCTGAGGTTCACTCTTGGTCGCTCTGACAGGTTCTGTGCCATATAACAACGCGTTAACAGAACATGCACTTCCTGACATGTGCTCATCTCTTCCCATGGCTCCCCGTGTAAAAAGGTGTCACTTGCCATCACTTTCTGCAGCAGCTCTTTAGTGCTAAAGGTTTTACCTTTACAAACTGGAAACGAGATGTTTGTACAAGGACTTAATTATAGTGAGCAGCTGACTTTTTAGCTTTTTTTTGTTTCTTACCGCCATTTTATCTACTTGATTATCTTTGTCCTTAAATGGAGACTTGCTGGTTCAGTGAGCATTTTAATTGTTTTTGAAACGCGTGCCAAAATGACATCTTGAAATATGGTTCACACCTGTACCAGCCAGCTTCTCAGCAACATCGATTTTTGTTTTTGAAATATTTGCCCATTTGATAGGCCAAGAAAGTGTTCATTGAAATATTTTGCGTTTTTTTGATTTCTGATGTAAATATTGGCTCTTATCACTAATTTTATGAACTATATTAATGTTCTTTATTTCCATGTTGGGCCATTTGTCTTTTTCTTACTGCTTTCTAAGAGCGTTTTAAATTTCAAATATAGCTATCTTCTCTGTTGCAAAATGCTTTTTCCTTTCTTGTTTGTTTTTATTTTGGTTGGTTTTTATAGTGTAGAAACTTCGTACCATCTTGACTTTGCTGTCTGCTGCATAGTGGTGCTTCAGTGCTCTCTGGCATTGGAATTATGCTGGAGCGTTTTCCTGCCTGTCCCTGTTCTTTGCTGTTGTAAACGGTGCCTCTGTAAACACATTTGTGAACTGTGTCTTTCTGCACGTGGGCGGATAGGTCTGTCAGGTTTCAGAAGTGGAATTGCTAGGATAGGGGATGGCGTAGCATTTATGTACTAATAGTTGCTGGAGATCTGTGGATTATATTCAGCTTGTAGCTGCAATTTCCATAAGCCTTTTTTGGGTCTGAGAAGTTTCAAAGTTGATTCTTTGGGGTTTTTGAAATTATCTGTCTCGTCTGCAAGTGGCCAGTTTAGAGTGTGACCTTGGACTCAAGCTGGGGTGGGATGTGCAGGGGAGGGGAGGAGAACCCCTCTGTTTTAAGATGTTAGTAGTGCTGCCTGCACCCACTCAGTGGGCAGCACATTCTCTAAAGGCCTCTACTAGTGCTTTTGTTGATTGTTTTGTTTTAACTTTGGATTTATTTTTTTGACTAGGTCATACATGCTCATGGTAAAAAAAATAAAAACAAAAAACAAAAGGAGAATATACAATGAAAAAGTAAGTTGCTCTTCTTTCCCTGGCCCCCAATTCCCTTCCCCAGAGGCGATCTTATATATCCTTCCAGAAATCGTCTGTTTAAGGAAACACATCTGTTTTTATAGTCACTTAGGATACTGTACACATTGTCGTGTCCCATTTTGCACTTAACTACCTTAAGAGATCGTGTCATATTCATTTATTTACAGTTGCCTCATTATTGTAAAAGGTTTCATAATCATTATATGAATATACCATATTTTGTCCATTATTCAACAGTACTTCAATGAATATAGTCTTGCATATATGTCGTTGCATATCTCTGGGATAAATTCATAGAAGTGGAATAGATAGAATAGGATATGTACATTTTTCATTTTGATAAGTAGCCAAATTGCTTTCCATAAAATTTCCATTGCCACAAGCAGTAGAGGAGTGGGCTGATATCTTCTTCACACAGACACACATATTGTCCATCTTGATGCTGATTCTTTTCCCAAGGCCCTTTTTTACCCTCAAATGAATTTCCTCTCCCATTGTGGGAAAGAGTAGTTAGAGTCTAATTTTTTTTTTTAAGATTTTCCTGTTAAAAATCTTTCATCTTTCAGTGTTCTTACTGACCAAGGGCTGTTTTGTTGGCCTGGCTGGAAAATCTTGGGCTCCTTTAATGAAGATCATATTTGTTTACTCCTACGTTTTTTGAGAAAAAGAATGAGTGAATTTTTGGCATAGAAATTGGTATCTACCTTGTGAACAGGCTAATTATGGGTGTTTAAATGGTCATATTACTTAAAGAGTAGGAGATCTTCCATCTCTTACTGGTGCCTTGGGAGGGTTTCTTATAAAATACTTCGCTCATTGAAATTTTATGGGAAGTTGCTCCTTAAATCATTTTGTCTGTGTAAATTTCTTCCCTGGATTTTCCACTGCTTCCCGAGTCAGGTTTGCCTATTCATATTTTCTTAGAAAAATTGTTGATTCCCTATCAAACTTTTTAAGCCTACAGTTGATATAGTGTTACACCTACTGATGCTTTATGCTTCAAATAATGTGCCTATTGGGAAGAAAAATTAACATAATAGAGAAAAAAATATATATATATGTAAAGTCAAAGTTGCCCTTAACATCTCCTGATTTTATTGTCGGATGAGAACAACCTTTCCCTGCTCCAGGATTATAAAATGTAATATTTTTATTGTATTTTGATTTTAATTATAGCATTTTTATATATGCTATGACCTTTTCCCCCAAGTGAGTGAGTGACTAGTTTTCCTATTACTATTGATTGCGATAATCCATATATTCCTTACTATTTTTAAGTGGCACTTTCATGGACTATTGAATACTCAGCTCTGTATGATAAACTCATGTATGGTTCTTAAATGAATCAAACTTTTTGTCATAAATTGCAAGTGTTTTGTTGTTTTCTTTCTTTGGCTTTGATGGTAGAGACAAGACCATCATTTGTTATTTTTATGTTACCTTTCTGCCTTTAGGCATGATACTATAGATTCTGAGGTTCTGTTAAAATATTTCTTAAATTTTGTGTATGCTTTGGCCTTTTGATTATGAATTTTCAAAATATTGATCCAAATGGAATTCTTCCAGGTCACCTTTAGAACCATTGTCAAGTTCCCCAACATTAATATTCTTTGAAATTCCATTAGATAATGTAGATTAATTTGGGGGAGGATTTCAGGCTTTAATATGCCAGATCCATACATCTTGCATGATTATTCTGTGTCTCTCTAGTTATCGCCTTTTATATTGCAATATAATTTGTAATTTTATTCATATAGGTGCTATTTTATTTCACTAAAGCTTTTTTTTTTAATAATGGAGCTCCTCCATTTTTAAAATTTGTTATTGTTGATACATATTTAGGGAGTCTGTGATAAGTGGTTTCTTTATTATTATAAGGTCTGTTTCCGTTGATTTGCAATATCTGAGTGGACAGTCTTACCTAAGAGAATGATAGTTTTATATCTATCTTTCTTTTTGCCTCAGATTTGTTTTTCTTGTCTTGTGATTTGCTAGATCTCTGTAGAATAATAGTAATAGTGTTAAGACTTTGGTGTCTGCTTTCATGAGTGGTTTTGGGCTGCAGTTTTTTAGTTCTGTATCTTTGTCTTGGGGTTTTTAATTATTCTGGTTTCATAAAGAAAATTTGAAAGCTTTCTATTTCTCATCTCTGGTTGGTTTATATGATATGGGAGTTGGCCTTTTCTTGAAGGTGATATATAGGGTCTCACTCCTAAAGCTATGAGTCCACTGCCATTTGGAGAATTAATTCTCTGATACTGTTTTTACATTTCTTCCATGTTTATTTGTCCGTGTATTTCTTTTTTTAAAATGTCTGCAGGTCCTTGGCATTTTGACTCTGTTCCTGTGGATAGCTGCCTGTTCTGAAGTTCCAGAAAGGATCCTATTCCCAAACAGGTGATTTACATACCTGAGAGTATCTTGTTGCCTCTGAGAGGTTGGGCTAGCGTCATCTCAGGGACCGGAGTTTTCTCTGTCTTTTTCTTTTTAGTTGTTTTACTGAGGTCACGTTGGCTTATAACATTGTGTAAATTTCAGGTGTACATTATTATATATCAGTTTTTATATAGAGACTGCATCATGTTCACCACTGATAGTCTGGTTTCCATCCATCACCATACATATGTGCCCCTTTACCCCTTTCGCCCTCCCTGCCCCTTCCCCTCTGGTCACCAGCAATCTGTTCTCCTTATCTGTGTGTTATTTTGTTTATCTTCCACATATAAGTGAAATCATACAGTATTTGTCTTTCTCTGTCTGACTTATTTTGCTTAACATAATACCCTCAAGGTCCATCCATGTTGTTGCAAATGGCATGCTTTTGTCTTTTTTATGGCTGAGTAGTGTTTCATTGTATATATATACCACATCTTCTTTACCCGTTCATCTGTTGATAGGCACTTGGGTTGCTTCCACCTCTTGGCTATAGTGAGTAATGCTGCAGGGAACGTAGGGGTACATATATCTTTTTGAATTGCTGATTTTAGGTTCGTAGGATAAATACCCAGTAGTGGGATAGCAGGATCACATGGTATTTCTATTTTTAATTTTTTGAGAAATCTCCATACTGTTTTCCATAGTGGCTGCACAGTTTGCATTCCCACCAGCAGTGTATGAGGGTTCCCTTTTCTCTACATCCTCTCCAACACTTATTTCTTGTCTTGTTAATTGTAGCCATTCTGACGGGTGTGAGGCGATATCTCATTGTAATTTTGATTTGCATTTCCCTAATAATTAGGGATGTTGAACATCTTTTCATGTGCCTGTTGGCCATGTATATATCTTCTTTGGAAAAATGTCTGTTCCTATCCCCTGCCTGTGTCTAAAACCAGTTTTACCTTGGGTTTGTGTATGTTATTTTCAACATGCTGTGTCAGTATTGAGACCTGAGTTGGTGTCAGGCAGTAGAGGATACAGTGATGGAAAAGTTCGTCTCTGATCTCTCTACTAGAGTTTACTGTGAGGGGTTTGGCAAGTTACCGCAGGTATTCAGAAATAAATGTGGTAAGTGCTTGGAACACCTCCTAGATGAAGTGAGTCTCAGAAATGATGCCTGAGGAAGTGGTGTCAGCATGAGCCCGAGGCTGGGTTTTGGGACTGATGCTCTTTGGAAGGACATGCACTACTGAGGGAGGGTCCTGAGCATCCCACAAACTCAGACACTGCACAGCATCTCTGGCCAGTGGAACTTCCCACCACAGCGGAGATGCGCTTCTGTCCAGTAGGGGGCCACTGGCACTGGAAATGCGGCTAGTATGACTGAGGAGCTGAATTTGTGATTGTATTGAATTTTTATTTAAATAGCCACATTTTATACAGCAGTGCAGGTGCAGAGAAATTAACTGGTGAGGAGAAAAGAGCACTTGCGATCACATTACCCAGAGCTGAGCACCTTTAGCGTTTTTATGTGGTTTTCTATCTTGTATGTGTTGTGTAATGTTGTAACAATTGTGGTAAGGGAAGAAGTGTGCAGAAATGCCAGGATTGGCCCCCGTTCCCCCATTCCATTTTTGCTAAGGAAAACAGTGACATCCGAGCACCGTGAGTACTTCCTACCTGCTGGGCATTGGGTAGTTAGGACTTTTAGGTACATTAGCTTATTTAAGCTTCACAGTTCTAAAAGGGATGAGGGTCCATTGTTCTCCTTTTGCAGATAAGGGGACAGACTCCAGGACATTGAGTAAGTTTGACATTGAATAAGTTGCCCGGGGTCGCAGAACCAGTTAGTAGCAGAGCTAACGCTTCAAGCAGGTCAGTGTGGTGCCCAGAGGTCATGCTTGTAACTCCTGTGCCGAGGCCAACTTTGTGTCCTGTGTATGTGTCTGTGTGTGGGGGGATTTACGCATCTCTTCCCCCCTTGGCCTGTTCACAAAGCATTGTTGATGCCCCTTGCAGGGCAGCCCCACACTGCTGCCTGGTCCTCAACTTCTGGGACATGTGTATATCTCCTTACGATCTACAGGTCCCTGAGTACTGACTGTCACAGGCTGCTGCGTCTCTCCTGTTGACTCATGTTTGGTTCCTCCAGTGAAAATTTTACTTAGAGAAATGCTGCCTCCAAAGTACTTGTCTGCCACCAAACCCAAGAAGTCTTGGGCCCCCCATCTGTATGAGCTAGACAGTGACTTGACTAAGGAGCCGGATGCCATCATAGGAGAAGGCACAACTGACTCTGAATTCTTTCATCAGAGGTTTCGGAATTTCTTCTACGTGGAATTTGTTGGGCCTCGGAAGACCCTGATCAAACTCCGAAACCTCTGCCTCGATTGGTTGCAGCCGGAGACTCGCACCAAGGAGGAGATTGTCGAGCTCTTGGTCCTTGAGCAGTACCTGACCATCCTTCCAGAAAAGATCAAGCCTTGGGTGCGAGCAAAAAAGCCAGAGAACTGCGAGAAGCTAGTTACGCTGCTGGAAAATTACACGGAGATGTATGAACCAGAAGGTGAGACTTTGTAAGAGGAAGATGGATGTCGTCGGGGAGGCCATGCGCTCCCTAGGGTTCTCAGCCTCAGCACTGCTAATGTGCTAGGCTGGATTATTCTCTTTGTGGGGGGGCTGTCTTGTCTTAGGACGTTCATTGGGACCCCTGGCCTCTCTCTGCCTGCAAGATGCCAGTTGCACCCCTCTTCCCAGCTGTGGCAGCCAAATATGTGGCATTACCAAGTGTCCCCTGGGGAGAAAAATCACCCCTGGTTAAGAACTGCCACCCTGAGGTGTGAGAGGGAAAGACGACACTTCAGTAAAAGGGTTCCGATAGGAAGAGAACCTCCAAGTGTCTTGCGCCCCTGGCCCAGACTTCTTTTTGTGAAACCTAAGGGTGTGGTGCCCCAGAGAGTTGGACTTGGTGCTGTTCGGAGGTGAGGTAGGAGTGGTCGCAGCCACGCTCCTCGCCCAGGAATGGTGGGAAGCTGAGGAGTGAAAGGATCCGGTCCCGCCAGCTTCTCTCAGGGGAGGGTTTGTGGGTGGGGGGCAGGGATGGACACTGCTGTGTTATGAGAACACAGGCCAGAGATGATAAAGCATTAAGTTGCCGTCTGGTGTCCTCTCAGACGACAGCAACAGTGACGTCCACAGTGAAGACAGCATGAGCCGAAGGGCAGCAGAGTCCCCGCCCCCACGCTCTGTCTACTCCTACTGCAGTGAGTAACCGCCAGCCATGCCACCCTCGGGGCGCGTTTCCCCTAAGAGTTTGCCGTGTGCATAGAGGCGAAGGTGGGCATCGAGACCTCAGTGAAGACAGCATCCCTTCCCCGGGGCGGCTGCTGCTACTCAGAGATCTGAGCGGGGAAGGAAGTTAGTTGATGATGTAGTGAGACATCTTTACATCAAAGCAGACCAGGGCATTGCAGTGAAATACGATTTTTTTTAAATGATGAGAGGAAGTATTTAAAGCTGTTTGAAATTTGTCACAGGCTGTTTCAGGCTGTACCCACAGCCTTCCAGGAGAGGCAAAGTTCATCACCCCTTTGCCTCTAAAGCTATTTTATTAGTTAAAGGTTCTTCAGTGAACTTTCTTAGGGCATTGCCTTTGGGGAGGGCGTGTGTTCTGTTTCTTTGGAGTAAGGTAATGTGCCCACGAAGATTGGCTGGGGCAGGCCAGACAGTAGAGGGTCTGAAGTCCATTTTCCTGAATGTGGACGTGACCATGTAGAAACTGGGAAACCAGCAGAAGTGTCTGAAGGGGCTTCTAAACGAAAGCTTTGGAACTTGGTTTGAAGCAAGCCCCACTTAGGCAAAGCCTGTGGAAACAATGTTCCAGGTCTAGGGTGGCGGGGGGAGTCCAGCTCACACTTGGGAGTCTGGAGACCGTGGTTTGGGATCCGTTTATTTCCTCAATGGAGGAGCAAGGATAATGCTCCTCTCCAAAGGGGTGTGTGTGCACGTGGAGGGAGAACACGTGGGTCAGAGCACTTTGGTAACACCTCGAATGTCTGGCTTTCTCAGGTGACCGGGACCGGGACTGGGACCACGATTGGGACCGTGGCCGAGATCGGAACTGGGACCGGAACCGAGACTGGGAGCGAGACGCCCTGGAGCGGGGGCGGGGGCGGAGGGCCAGAAGCAGAGACCTGGAGTCCCGAGAACGCTGGCCGTACACCAGGAACCCCAGAAGCAGTAAGTTGTCCACTCTGACCTGCTCCCTGATGCGCGTGCGACGTCGCACTGGGCCTTGTTCCTTCATGATGCCTTTTGTCCTCCCAGGACATCCTCAGCGGGATCTTTCCCTTCCTGTGATGGAGAAAACAACTTTTGTTATGGAGAGAGAGCACAGACGCAGGGACTCGGTGATGGACTATGAGTCCAGATCCCAGGTATGCTTCGGTTTCTTCTCTTTCTGGAAAGGCCATCTTCATTTCAGGGCAGAGATGCCTTTCTTTCCTGAGAGGCTGTGTTCATCTGCCCCCTAGAATCCCAGCTGGGTTGGGAGAAGAGCCCCCGGACCTGTCCCCAGAGGTGACAAGTGGCCGGGGTGACTGCTGCCTACTGTTTGATTCATCCACACTGTCAGAGGAACTCTTTCTCGCTCAGCATTTGTGTCAGTTGGTAGGTGGTCACGTTCGCTACTGGCCCAGGGAAGCAGAAAGATTCTGGAGCTCTTTCTGGCCCTCAGTAGAGAGCCGAGAAAGTTGCAAATCCACGGAGCAGACTGGCAAGAGAGAGCAAGGGCTCTGGAGCTGACAGGAGCTGGGTCTGAAGCCCAGCTCTGCCACCTGCTAGCTGTGCGGCCTCGGACCATTTACTTAACTAAGCTGAACCTCAGTTTCCTCATCTGTAAAAAGGGTGGGGTTATTGCCTCACCAGGGCTGCTGTGAGGAGTGAGTGGGATTTAAATGTATATATGAAATGCTTAACACGATGCCCGGCACATGATAGATACACCCTAAATGCCAACAGTTAACAGCCATCATTTTAAGAGGCAATGTGTGCTAGGGAAATTGGTGAAGGGAGAAAGGGTGTGGGATTTGAGCTGACCCTTAAGGAGGAGGGTCAGTTGTGACATGGCAGTGTGGAGGAGGGCCACAGCATGGACAGGGCTTTGGAAGGAAGGAGGAGCCCAGTGTGCTGAACTGGCAGCTCCTTTTATGATAAAGCACCTGTCCTGGAAGGTTTCAGCCTTGTAACAGAGAAGGGCATTCAACAGTCGCAGAAATCCGTCTGTATATAGGTATTGTATATGACTGCTGATTGTTCAGAGCACTCTTAAGGAAAGATAGAGAGTTAACAAGAAATTGTCACAGAGGTCTTTATTGGGATTTGCAGGGAAATGTCTTGAAGGTAGTCTAACACCTGACACCTGAAAGGCAGGAGCACTGGCCAGGTAAAGGTTGGGATGAGGGGATCCTAGGCATTTGGGAGAGCCAGGTAAAGGCTCTGGAGCAGGAGCCGAAGCCAGGCCAGACTAGCCACAACACAAAGGGCAGGAGGTTGGAAGCCTGGCTGGGCCTGGGCACAGTGTCCTGCAGCTGAACAGAGAGCTTGAGTCTGTTCCCCACGCACTGAGATGTGTTAATAATGGTTCTTGCAGTGGGATTTATAAGGTGGGGTCAGATGATGGAGGGACTGAGAACTCTGTCATTTGTCCTCTGTCTTGGAGGGAAGCAAGGACTCGCAGGTGTGTATGAGAAGGAGAGATGGGTGGTGTCCAGATGTTGAAAGCAGAGCTTCTGCAGCAGCAATAACTGGCGGGGGAGAGGATGTGGAATAAGTTGGGCGGGGCCGAAAGTGACCCAGGTCCTCTAGCCCGAATGGGGGTTATGTCCTTGTTGTCCCAGAGGAATACCCTAAGTTTGTGACACACTTAGTTTGTCACTAATTTTGATTTCTTATTTGGTGAAACCAAATTGGCCAGAATTTTGGGAATCCAGATAAAAATACAAATCGTAGAAACTTCTTAAACTTGATTTTGAAAAAGAATCCTCTTTGACACGCATTTGCCACCCGTGAAGGCGGTCAGCGATATCAGTGCTTTCTGAACACTGCTCTGTGAGTTGGTGACTGAGTTTTTACTGACCTGCCGGGAAATGAGAAATGCTAGTGTCCTTACTTTTGAGGTATTAAAATACTCTTTTATGAAATGAAGACAATAGGAGATTGGTAGTTGGATTTCATCTAATTTTGCTTTTTAAATGCCCTTCCTTGGCACTGTTAAGAGTCCCCATGTCTGTGTGTCCAAAAGCCTGCAAGTCACTGATTCCTGCTAACTCAGTGTGGTAGAAATAGCAGCAGCAGAAGGTATAACTTACATTTTGGGGGGTACAAAACAGAAAGTTCTCATCTTCTTTTAGCATAATTGTTCATGTGTATAGGTCATGTTGTGAAAATGAAATTGTGCTAGCTCTGTTCTCCGACCTGCCGTCCATTCAAGTGGAACTTGGTTGCAGCTGGTGCAAATTTAGATACCATTGTTGATGACAAATACCAAGTCAACAACTGCTTTAGAGCTACCCACTTGCATAGATTAACTGAATCTTAAAGCATCATTTTTTTTCCATAGGAACAACATAGTTCAAAATTTAACGTACATTTATTTTACTCAGATTAGGCAAATAGAGAGAAAGATATGAAAAACGCTCCTTCCCTTTTCCCATTGTCCTTGTGGGTCTCTCAACACCAGGGATGGTGACCCTTCTGACTCCCTCAGCCCCCCAAGTTCTTGACCTCTTTTGCGCTCTGCCAGCCCCCAAGGTAGGAGCTCTGGTTTCCTCCCCCTCTCAGCCCACACGACAGCTGTGCTTCCCGCCATCTTCCGTTCATTATGGTCCACCAGAGCTGCGGCCTCGGGAAGCACCGGCGCACCCCTGAGCACAGCGGAGCTCCTGCTTTCAAGGAGAGAGGCGCCCGAGGAAAAGGGTGCGGTTTAGCTTTATGGGGCAGTAGTTGTACCGATTTTGCAGTATCGGGACAGCTGAGCTTTTATGCCTTGTTTGTTGTCCTAGAAATTCTCAGCCCTGACCCAGAAAGAGTTTCGATTTTGAAGCTCTGCTTAGTTTTGGTTATTGTTTTTGCTTTTTAATTGCTGGACATCGGCAGTTGCATAAATGAGGCTTTCCTCTTAAATCCCGATTCCTGTGCCTATTTATCTCGCTCATTAGGAGATACGCCTAATTGTGCAAGCACTGTCTTTTTTTGCTGCATTTCCACATGGCTATAATGTCCATGCCATTTCCCAGCAATGGAACTTAAGTAAATTTAATACCAAAATATCTTTGATAGTTTAGTAATAATAATAATTTACATTTTCTTTACGTAATTTTTCTTCATGTTTACACAACGCACATCACATTGCAGAAAATCCTCACCCACAATATTGCAAGGCAGGCTGATGCCGTTCTCTCCATTTTACAGATGAAGAACTTGAGGCTCACAAAGGTTTCTGTTCCCGAGGTTGCATGGCTCACAAATGGTGCTGTTGTCTAGAGTTTTCTCTGGCTCCAAAGCCTGTGGGCTTCCCACAGTGCCATCTCCCTCCTCATGTCTGTCTCCAGGTCTTGGTGCTGTAGACCCTGGGACCACGACTCCCTGAAACCAGGAATGTTATTGTGCAGCAATAAGAAGAGGTCCTGTAAGATGCTGCATAGAAGCCTCTCCTGCATAATGCAGGGAGTTTTAAATTATTTTTAGGGAAGTATCCAGTAAAACAGAAAAGGCAGCTATAAAAATGAAGACACTCAGTGCTTAAAGTTACACCTGGGTTATTTGGAACTTCCACACACCTAAAAGAGCCCATGACGTAGCCGTGTTGTACAGTGGAGGTGTGCACAGGACACAGCGGGACCGGGGAGGGAGGCTTAAGTCCCACTTCCTGACCAGATGTCTGTGAAACGCATTTCCTTTCTGTTCCCGGCTAAGCCATGTGTAGTTGATATTTAGCCTGTTGAAGTTTTCGCACCGTCCTCCTCTCTCCCTGTCAAAGGCTTACCCACCACTACAGGCCCCCCTGCAAGGCCCTCCACAAAACCTGCTTACTAGTCCAGCTCATCCTGAACTGTCCTTCAACTAAACCTGCCTAGCACTGATTATCTGTACCCCACTTTATTGTTTATTGTTCTCTAATTGTTTCATGAGTCTTTTCTCTCCAACCAAATTATAAGCTGCATGAGGGCAAGGAATGTGTGTCATACGTCTTTTGGATCTTCCTCAGAGTATAGCGCCAAGGTAGGTACAAAGTAGGTCCCTAGTAAAACTTGACTTGGATCACTCTGAACCCCAAACGCTGTGAGCACTTTCTACATACCTTTGTATGTGTAACTCCCTTGTCGCCAGCGTTCTTCTCTCTTTGGATGCCAGTGGGAACAGACTCCATTGAGAGGTCTGTGCTTGCTGTTTTAGGATGCAGTGTCCTACCAGGACGTTGTGGACCTTACCGAGGACAGGAAGCCTCAGAACCCAATTCAGGACAACATGGAGAACTACAGGAAGCTGCTCTCGCTGGGTAAGCAGCTGCTTCTCAGTCACTCCAAATCCAGTCATTAGAATATTTTATCACCTTATTCTTTTCAAGGATATTAGAGTCCATGTTAATATGTTTGGGCTTTAAGGGTAATAAGAAGCCTTTGAAAGATTTAAGCAGAGGAGTAAATGATGAGATCTGTGTTTTTAAGAAATCACTCTGGCGTTGGGTAAAGAATATACTGTATGGTATGAGGGAGAACAGGGAGACAGCGCTTGCCGCAATACTTGATACTTTTTCAAGAGTGTTGACAGCAGAGGTTTTTATGGACGCATTTAGGCTGGGATCCTGAGATGTCTTTCCTAGAAGACATCTAGCTCAAGTCATAGTAGGAAGTTGGCTATGCAGGTCTGGCACTGGGCAGAGAGAGCTGTACAAGAGTGTTGTATAAGGCAGTGGAGCCTTGAGGAGCTTTGGTGTTTAGAGAACAGGTGGAGAAAGCAGTCAAGACGTAGGAGGAGAACCATGAAGGCCAGTGAAAAAGAGGACGTCAAGATTTAAGAGGTGGTTATGAGAAGGTGAACACCAAATAGGATGTACTGAATTTAGGGACACATGGGGGTCTTCATATAAATTTCTAAGTGCAGTCAGGAGAATTAATTAAAATTCAGATTAGAATGGACTAAGGAATGAATAGTGACGAAATAAGACTGCAAATAGAAGACATCCAAAGAATTAGATGTGGGTTTCTTCATAGTTAGTGGCTGAGAGAAAGATAGACATCAATTTATGGTGATGAGTCCTGGTCCTCAACTGGAGTGTGAGCTGAGCTGTGGTATTGTTCTTGTGAACAGGGGTTCAGCTTGCCGAAGATGATGGCCACTCCCACATGACACAAGGGCATTCATCAAGGTCAAAGAGAAGTGCCTACCCAAGCACCAGTCGAGGTAAGCACTGGGCAGATCGTATGTAGTGGCCACGTCAATCAGTAGATTGGGAGCTATGTATACATATTGACAAACCTTTTATTTACATTTTACATTCACACCACCATCACAGAAGTCCACTATTATTTTGCACAGGTACAGGGACTAGGGAGTATTTACATTTGGGGTTTCTTTTCAGGTCTGAAAACTATGCCTGAAACCAGAAAGTCAAGTCATCGGCGGGGGATTTGTGAAGATGAATCTTCCCATGGGGTGATAATGGAAAAGTTCATCAGGGACGTGTCGCGCAACTCCAAATCAGGAAGGGCGAGGGCATCTAATGATCGATCGCAGAGATTCCCCCGAAGGCCAGACAATGATTGGAAAGAAGTTTCATTCAACAAGAGGGAGTCAGTGATTCAGGAGAGGGGCTATGAAGGGAATGCTTTTGGGGGAGGCTTTAATTTTAACTCAAACCTAGTTTCCAGAAAGAGAGTTCTTGAAAGAAAAAGGCGCTATCATTTTGACACAGATGGGAAGGGCTCAATTCATGATCAGAAGGGCTATGCAAGGAAGAGACCCTTTGAATGTAGTGATATGAGAAAAGCCATGAGCATGAGCAGCCTTAGCTCACCCTCCTTCACTGAATCACAGCCACTTGATTTTGGGGCAATGCCCTATGTGTGTGATGAGTGTGGGAGGCCTTTCAGTGTGATTTCAGAATTTGTCGAACATCAGATCATGCATACTAGAGAGAATCTTTATGAATATGGTGAATCCTTTATTCATAGTGTGGCCGTCAGTGAAGTTCAGAAAAGTCAGGCTGGAGGGAAACGCTTTGAATGTAAGGAGTGTGGGGAAACCTTCAATAAGAGTGCTGCTCTTGCTGAACATCGGAAAATTCACGCTAGAGAGTATTTCGCAGAATGTAAGGATGAGGAGTATGAGGAACCCTTCATGCCTAGCCCGACCTTTAGTGAGCTTCAGAAAATATATGGAAAAGATAAATTCTATGAATGTAAGGTGTGTAAGGAAACCTTCCTTCATAGTTCTGCCCTGATTGACCACCAGAAAATCCATGGTAGAGACGACAAAGATAATGATCGTGGGGAGGCCTTTAAACCCAGCCCAACCCTTAGTGAGCGTCAGAAAATGTATGGTAAAGAGAAAATGTATGAATGTAAGGTGTGTGGGGAGACCTTCCATCACAGCTCATCCCTGAAAGAACATCAGAAGATCCATACTAGAGGAAACCTATTTGAAAATAAGGGTAAAGTGTGTGAGGAAACATTCATTCCTGGTCAGTCCCTGAAAAGGCGTCAGAAAACTTACTCAAAAGAGAAGCTCTATGATTTTAAAGATGGTGGGGATGCCTTTAGGCAAAGCTCAGACCTCAGTGAGCATCAGAAAATTCATTCTCGAAAGAACCTCTATGAAGGCAGGGGGTATGAGAAGTCTGTCATTCATAGTGTGTCCTTCACTGAATCTCAGAAGAGTCATACTATAACAAGACCACCTGAAAACGAGGAGGACGAGAAGGCATTCACTGTTAGCTCTAACCCTGATGACAACCAGAAATTTCCCACTACAGAAAATGTCTATGAGAGGAAACCATATGCGAGGTCTGTTATCCATAGCTTAGCCTCTGCTGAAGCTCAGAAAAGTCACAGTGCTGTGGAGCCCAATAAACTGAAAGTGATTACAGAGTCTGCTATTCAGAGCTCAAATGTTACCAATCATCAGAAAGTCCAAGCTGGAGAGAATACCTCTGAAGGAAAGAAATATGAGACATCTGTTATCCATAGCTTAGCTGCTTTCAGACCTCCCAAAAGTCACAGTGGAAATGAAGTTGTTGAATGTAATGAGAAGGGAGAATCCTCCATTTATGTCTCAGACCCTCACGATAAGCAACAAAAAGCTCCTGCCAGAGAGAACCCTTATGAAGGGAGTAAGAAAAACACCTACAAAGACTCTGTCATACACAGTATATCCCATGCCGAACCTCAGAAGAGTCTTACTGGAGAGGAATCCAATGAATTTAAGAAGGATGGCGAATCATCTGTTCCCAACTCAAATGTCCGCGAACATCAGAAGGCTCGTGCTAAGAAGAAAAACATTGAGTGTACGAACTATGAGACCTCTGTAATTCACTCCCTACATTTTGGTGAACCTCAAACTTTTCGCCCTAGACAGAAATTCTATGAATGTCTAGTGTGTGGAGAGTCCTTTGTTCGTAACTCTGACCTCACTGAGCATCAGAAGATTCATGATAGAAAGAAGCCCTCTGGAAGTAAAAACTATGAACGATCTGTTATTCGTAGCTTAGCCTCTACTGACCCTCAGACGAGTTACGCTGAACAGCAAGTGCAAATGAGTTACGCTGAACACCCGGTGCAGACGAGTTATGCTGAACAGCCAGTGCAGATCACTTATGCTGAACAGCCAGCCCAGATGAGTTATGCTGAACAGCCAGCACAGGTGAGTTACATTGAACAGCCAGCGCAGACGAGTTATGCAGAACAGCAAGTGCACAACAAATGTAAGGAGTGTGGGGAATGCTTTGCTACCCCTGAAGACCTCGGTGCACATCAGAAAATCTATGCCCGAGAGGAGTTCCATGGGGGGAAGCTGTTTGGAGGCTCTGTCATTCAGGGTGTAGGCCTTGCTGGGCCTCAGCAGGGAGAGCCTCAGCAGGATGAGCCAGATGAGCAGGATGAGCAGGACGAGCAAGATGAGCCTGAAGACACAATCTATGGATGTAAGGACTGTGGGCTAGGCTTCGCGGATCGGGCAGACCTTAAGGACCATCAGAAAGTTCATGGCAGAGAGTATCTCATCGACAGTCGTGAGTACACGCATTCTGTAATTCACACCCATTCCATCAGCGAATATCAGAAAGATTACATTGGAGAGCAGCTCTTTGAATGCCCGGCATGTGGGGAATCTTTTGTTCATAGTTCATTCCTTTTCGAGCATCAGAAAATCCATGAGCAAGATCAATTTTACGGATATAGGAGGTATGATGAGCCATTTATGCAACCCTTGGTCATTAACCCACGGAGGCCTCGTGCCCCACAGAAGAATCCTCCTACAGGAACGTCCCTTCAGTGCCACGTGTGTGGACGAGACTTCATTCATGGCTCTGTCCTTAATGAACATATGAGAATTCATACTGGAGAGAATTTACCAGAGCAGGGTCAGAGAAGTGAAGATGCTGTCAGTCCAGGCTTAGCCCTCACTGAGTTTCAGAGAAGTCAAACCGAAGAGAAGCACTATGAATGTAAAACATGTGGAGAATCCTTCCTCAGTCAGTCAGACCTTAGGGATCACATGAGAATTCATGAGAAAGATGAGCCCTATGATTATGGGGCCACCTTTGTTCACACCTCATTTCTTACTGAGCCCCCCAAAAGAGATTCACCGTTCTATGAATGCAAGGATTGTGGGAAGTCTTTTATTCATAACACAGTCCTCACTAAACATCAGAAGCTTCATCTTGAAGAAGAAGAAGCTGCAGCCCAGGAAGTTGAAGCCAATGTCCTCGTTCCAAGAGAAGTTCTGCGGATCCAGGGGTCAAATGTAGAAGCAGCTGAGCCAGAGGTGGAGGCTGCCGAGCCGGAAGTGGAGGCTGCTGAGCCCAATGTGGAGGCCGCCGAGCCCAATGGAGAGGCTGAAGGGCCAGATGGGGAGGCCGCAGAGCCAAATGGGGAGGCTGAACAGCCCAACGGAGAGGCCGAACAGCCCAACGGGGATGCCGATGAACCGGATGGTGCAGGGATCGAAGACCCAGAAGAAAGAGCTGAAGAGCCAGAGGGAGACGCCGATGAGCCAGATGGTGCAGGGATCGAAGACCCAGAAGAAGAAGGTGAAGATCAGGAGATTCAGGTTGAAGAGCCATACTATGACTGCAGGGAATGTGGAGAAATCTTCACTTCCAGTTCAGCCTACGGTGAGCACCTGAAAACCCATGCCAGGGTGATAATATTTGAGCCTGGAAGTGTCTACGGAGAAAGCTCACGCTATACTGAACATGCCAGCACCAGCACTAGTGACAATGACAGGGCTGATGACAAGTACTTCAAATGTGACGTCTGTGGGCAGCTCTTCAATGATCGCCTGTCCCTCGCTAGACACCAGAATACCCATACCGGCTGAGAACACGACTGTAAAGGTTGGAGAACCTTCACTTAGAACTTGACTTTACTAAACCACAGAGAATTCGAACCAACCCATAATAATGTCGAAAGGAAACTTACCTTGACGTGTATACACCTGACTTTTAACATTAGACAACTCAAACTGGAAGGAAACTGAAGGTGGTGATTCCTTTCGTCTTAGCTCTCCCCCATCAGACATTGAGTGTGCATGTGGGAAAGCCATAGCACATATCTTACCTTCCATCCCAGTAAACACACTGAGGGAAAACCCTCGGGGTTTTCGAGACTACAGAAATTGCCCCAATCAGCTGTAAAGGACACTCCTGTAACCTATATATAATGTTTCCTGAGATGTATATAAAACAGCAAATCATAGCAGTACAGTAATCACGTATATTTGGATTTAATTACAGTTTACTGTGCAGAAGTACCTTACCCTGGTACTCTTTGGTTTTTTTTTTTTTTTTGGAGGAGGAAGAGAGCAACAAATTAGAGTATATTTGTAAGCATCTTAGATCCTCAGAAAGATTTATTGTGCATTATTTGAACTCCATCCGTATCTTTTTGAGTAATTGTGTGTTGTTCCTTCCTCCTTCCTCTTAAATATTCCTGTACAGGTGTAGGCATGAAAGATAAAATGTCGATTACTCTTTGTTGTTTGAAAAGAGAAGTACTTTGAGCTTCCTTTTCAGCCCTTTCGTCTACACCAACGCTTTGGAACCTAATGCTGTATAAGCCTTTACAACATGTGGATTGGCCTTTTGTGACCCAAATTATCAGTTGCCACATTGTACCTTGCAGTGATTCTCATGCAAAAATATTAGAAGTTTTGTTGTTTTTTAAACCAACTTGCTGTGTTCGATAGTGAATGCACAAAAGCCGAAGCTTTTCTCTGTAAATTTTATGTCTTTGCCTTTAAAGAGTGAGCTGCAACCATCGCTAGATCACAGTAGTGCCTCATGAAGGTTGAGAACCATGGGGAGAGGCTCTCGGGTTGTAAATACAGCTGTAGGCTGACGACTTTCATCACTTGCTTTGTGTGCTTCCTGCCTTAAGTGACAAGTAGAACGTGGCTTCAATAGTATGTTCTGCCACAAGTCAGTTTGCACCCTGGGTGCCCAGGAGCTAGTTTTCTTAGAGCTTTCTGTTGCTCAGCTGAATTCTCGTCTTCACCTCTCTGACCATCAACCCTATGTCTAACTTGCATTTAAAAAAATTTAAAAAAATAAAAAAGCTTTCTTTACAGTCAACCCAAGCTTAACATGGACTCAGGTTCTCCAGCAGCCTTAATTTGTTTTGTTACCGTCTGTTCCTGCCCTGCTCAGCTCTCCTGCGTGCTTCTGAGCTATCCATTAGTGTTGTGTCTGTCTGGTCTCTTCGGGTTTCCACTTGACCACCAAGTGACCTCCTAGCTTGAGGTTTCCGGTGTCCTGTTCTGTGCCCCACCTGTGCTCCTTTTGCTTCCCCTCCCATCACATAATGACTATTAAGAAATTTTTTGGCTTTGAGTTGGCTGGAAAAAAAAATTTTAAAATAAAAAAATTTTTTAAAAAATGGATCTGTTGATTGAATGAAGATAAGAGCAGATAATTTGAACAAGCAAAATTAAAATCCCTGCTAGAGAATGTGTCTAAATCTCACTCTCCTAGATCCGCACGGTTAGGGCTCGGAGAGTGTGTGTCAGGGCTGCAGGGAATGCCCAAGTTGAGGGAGGTTGGAGGGCTGAGAGAGAGGCAGAATGAGTAAGCCAAAGAAGGGAGTCCTAACGTGTCACCAGCCCTAGGAGGGTGAGGAAGCAGACGGAAGGCAACATCAGAAGAGGGATTGGAAAGTTAGGCTGGTGAGAAGGAATCGATTGAGCAGAATGTCTTGGGCAGTTTAGAAGAAGGGGCCTTTTTTATGGCATGGTGTAGGTGAGGGCCAGCTGCACAGAAAGACCAAGGTTGGAATGGACATCTGGGAAAACAGGAGCAGTGAGGCCCCACATCAGAGCAGGGCTCTTGAGACGGGAGCCAGTGTTGATGTCATCGGGGCGAACTTGGGTTCGTCACTGTTGGTAGTAGGTTGGTAGAACCTTTTCAGAAAGTACCTTGCCAAGTGTCAGGTTGTCCGTTCCAACCTTAGGTTAGTAAAAAATCAGGAACAACTGAAATGCCAAACAATAGGAGAAAGATAAGTGAACGTATCGTGGACTCAACGCAGCTGTTTAAAAATGATAATCATGAAGAGTTATGTAGCAACGTGAAAATATATTTACGGAATATTAAGTGGAAAAAGCAGGACACAATTATATTTATACTACAATTATAATTGTTTAAAAATGTATGCTTATAGTCAAAAGCTGTTGTGTTGTTGTTGTAGGCTTATAGTTGAGCATTATTTTCTTAAATTCCTTGAATGTTCTTTATGGTAGTGTTACTAAAAAGTTTATAACCACGTTTCCATTGTGAACATAATTCGAACTCATCAGCAGACAACTTGGAAAATACAGAAAAGTGGAGGAAAAAAATCCATATTCCCACCATCCAAAGACAGATAATACTGTTCAATATATTGTTTATTCTTGTTTCTGTGCACAGGTTTATGATTATAACCGTGTCAAAATGTGTATTCAGAGTAGCTGTTATGTTACCTTTGTGGAATTATGGTTAAACACTTTCATCTTAATGTTTTCAAATGTTCCTTATAATAGTGTTCTGGTAACAAAGTTTATTATGTTTGTTTCCATGATAAGCATAATATGTACCCAGAAGAAAAATTGGAAAATACAGTAAATTAGAAAAGAAAAAAAGGTTACCCATATTCCCAACACCCAACAACTGCTGTTAACATCTTGATCTGTTTCCTCCATCTTGTTTAAGTGCACAAGCTTGTGATTATAACAGTGTTAAATACGTATGCATAAAGTCTAAAATGAAAAAAATATGGAACTAATTAAAATAGTGTTGTTATTGTGGGATTATGGTTAAATATTTTGTCTCAAATTCCCTGAATGATCTTTGGTGTTTTGGTATTAAATCTTATGTATGTATGTATTTTTCCATTACAAGTATAATACATACTCATAGCAAACTTCAGGAAATTCAGTAAAGTAGAAGAAAAGAAATTCACCCATATTCCCAACACCCAACAACAACTGCTGTTAACATCTCAATCTGTGCACCAGTCTGTGTTATTAGGGTGTTAATGATAAGTGTGCGTAGAGTCAAAGATGGGAAGAAATATGGAAAACAATTAAATAGTTGTGTGGTCATTGTGGGATTATGGTTAAATATTTAGCCTCGGTTTCCTCGAATGGTCTTCATCCATAGTGTTTTGGTAATCCACCTTTATTACATATATTTCCATTATAAACACAGTATGTGTTCGTTATAGAAACTTTGAAGTTGCAGAAGCATAGAAGAGAAACTCACCCATATTTCCATCATCCAAAGACTCTGGTTAACATCTTGATGTATTTTCTTCATCTTGTTTCTGTGCACAGGTTTTTGGTTTGTTAATATGGTTGTGGTCGTTCTATCTATCTGTAATAGTGTCAACAATAAAAATAAAGTTAAAAATAAGATATTTCTCCATTTCTTTTTTTGTCCATTTTAAGTGTTTGGGGTTGTTAAATATAGTTTTTTGTTAAAATTATAAATCCCCAAACTTAAGCCTTTAAGTTTGCCTTATTCTGTTTTTATGTATTGCATATTTTAAGTTACCTTTAAGGGATTTTTTAATACTACATGATTCCACATTTTTAACTGCACTTAGGAAATTAAAACATATATTCCAATGGTGTTTTTTTTTTTTTAATTTAATTTAATTTAATTTTTTCCCCCAAAGCCCCAGTAGATAGTTGTATGTCATAGTTGCACAGCCTTCTAGTTGCTGTATGTGGGACGCGGCCTCAGCATGGCCAGAGAAGCGGTGCATCGGTGCGCACCCGGGATCCGAACCCTGGGCTGCCAGCAGCGGAGCGTGCGCACCCAACCACTAAGCCATGGGGCTGGCCCTCCAATGGTGTTTTTAAACTTGATAATAACCACAAGTATATTTCAGTTACATGAGTTGGCATTTTTAATTTTAATCTCATTTAAATATGAGATTCTCCCAAACAAAAAAACACAAACAAGCATGATCCCTTAACATAAGAATGTTAATATGGTTTAGAATCTCTCTCAAGTGTCTGTTCTTAACTCTGCCCTGAGGTTCAAAGGTGCTTCTCCTCATGAGAGTCGTTTCCCTTGTTTTAACCCGAGTTCACCCCCAAGAACATCCCAGGCAATTTGGCAGATTGTCATCCCAGATCACTTGGGAGGTAATTTTGTAAACATGCTTGTAATTCCATCGTGACCAGAGATTTCGGCCAGGTTGCTGACTGCATCACTCTTGGCTACTGTTGTAGGTTGCAGATACCTAATTTGGGATTGCTGTGTCCCTGACTCCATGACGCAGAGGAGATGGTCACATACTTGACACCCTTCTAATCCCCTGCACATCAAGTGATTGGATTCTACTCAAGATATAAAAGTGTACTCTTCATTTAATTCTAACTACTCTGGAATTTGACAGAGTGGCAGAGTCCTGCGTTCTTTCAAATTCTTAGAACTTTCATTTATATTAAAATGAAAGCCCATTGAATTATGGTTATCTCTTGTGGCCTCTCTGTGGTCACAGCTTTAATGATTTTTCTGTGATAAGGGGCATGAGTAGGTCAGTTCTCTTTTAAGATTGATTTCTTGAAGAGTATATTGTGAAAGGAAGTAGAGGAAGGGAATGAAGTGAGGGTCATTTGAGGTTGCCTGACCAGCACTTAGACTCTTGGAGAATTCCTTCCTCCACCCACACCTAAGTTGTAGGGGTGACTATTCCCCTACCGCCATGTTTAGACCATGAGATTTGACCCCTCCCCAGCCTCAGCTGATGTGTGCGTGGGTTCCCAGGGTTCAGTCAGACTCAGGCTAAGGGCGACCTGGATGGTTGTATTGGTTGGGGCTGGGTGTGCTTCCACATGGCCACAGGGAAGCTTGGTTCCTGGTGCCTCACCCACCCCAGTGCCTGTGCATCCTGGCTGAACTGCCTACCCTTGGGGCCCTAAGAACTCGTGTACCTTTAAAATAATCCCCTTTCCACATGAGCTGGCTTTGTTAATGGTGTGGTTTTTGCTGTTTTCACCAGCCCCAAATCCCGTCCCCCTTTTGGGGACCACTTAGTCTTGGGGGAGTGCCACAGTGCCCTGCTTTTCTCTGACCAAAGGCTGAGCCTCCTGCCAGTCAGTCTCCCTGAACAGAAGGACACACAGAAGTCATTCCAGTTGCAGTGCCGACCTTTATTCCTGCTACAGAGATAGCCAGAGCTGTTCAGGTAACTGGGCTTCTGGAGGCCTCATTGTTGAGTTCTTCCTTGGATTCTAGTGTCCTTCCAGTCTGTTCCTTATTTGCTTTGCTGGATCAGAGTTAGTTATTTGCAACCCCAAAGAGCCATAACTGATACAGAAATTGATACCAGGGAATGAGTTGGAGATAATAAATCCTAAGGGAAATGTGGGATACTTTGAATTCAATATTGGGCCTTGGGATGGGAAACTAGAAGACAAGGCATCTAGCAATAAAATACCTAATTATTGCCTGTGGTCAGTCACCCGAAGTCATGTTTCCTGAGGCAAAGGGCTTGACAGCTGCTGTCATGGACAAATCCAAAGACTAAACAATGTCAAGATTGGAGGTCCAGGAGGGTTTTCACAAACACTTTGATCCTGAGGGTCACTGACTTAGCTAAATCCATAGTCTTGCTCTCTTTCTAATACAAAAAGTTTGGGCATCCTTGGGGAAACAGGAACCTGGCAATTGGAACAGTCGTATCTAGGAGGCTTGGGAAGATTGAGACGACTCTGAAGCTCCAGACTCTTTGAAATCCTCATTTTACCACTTCATTCCCACACAAGGGAAAGTTGAAGGGGCTGCCTGGGGGCAGGCGGGCAGTGGTTAAAAGGCTCTCTGATCTCCATGGCGATGGGAAGAACCTGGGTATTGAAAAGGGGGCCACTTCTCTTAGGAAGCATGGCTGGTGTAATCAAATCCTGAGGGGAGTTCTGACACAGATTCTTGGATGTGATGTCCCCAAAATGATTTATATAACAAAATAAGCCAAAGTCTCGGTCTGAAATAGTTGGACTAGGGCCACCATTCTAGAGTCACAACCTCCTGAATCAGTTTATAGAGAGAGGCCACTTAAAGGAGAGTCCAGGGACCCTTGAGGAAGGACTATGCTATATATAACACTTCTGCCTTCCACCTAGCCTGCTGAAAAGGGACCTGCAGCCTTTTTTTTTTTTTTTTTGTGAGGAAGATCAGCCCTGAGCTAACATCTGGGCTAATCCTCCTCTTTTTTTCTTTTTTTCTGCTGAGGAAGACTGGCTCTGAGCTAACATCTATTGCCAATCCTCCTCCTTTTTTTCCCCAAAGCCCCAGTAGATAGCCATATGTCATAGTTGCACATCCCTCCAGTTGCTGTATGTGGGACGCGGCCTCAGCATGGCCGGAGAAGTGGTGCGTTGGTGCGCGCCCGGGATCCGAACCCAGGCCACCAGTAGCGGAGCGCACGCACTTAACCGCTAAGCCACAGGGCCGGCCAACCTGCAGCCTTTTACATAGATAATCCATTTGTGGACAAAGAAACAAACCTTCCAAGGACTAGTGGATGTTGCATCTAAAATACACTAATTCTTGGGGACCATAACATTGCAAAGTAAAGAGCAATCATGATGTAACATGCTGTCTGCAGGAAAGCCAACTCCTGAGAACTGGGCTATGCATCTCCTAGTTACACCTTTCAAATTCTTCACTTGGTTTAAGTCATTCCTCCCCTGGGAAGGCATGGGTGAGAGAGAAGCCAGGACTGGTACTATATCCACCCCCCAAAACCCCCAACAGCGAGACATTTGAGGCAAGTGGATGATACTAAGCCCCTTGCCTCACAGAGAGGGCAATGTTTTATCACCAATGGAACAGAGACTTGCTCTGGTTTTAGATTTTTCTTTCCCTGCCCATTAGTCTCTTCTCAACATCTGTAGGCTTACTGCATGCTTCATACAGCACTTATGTACCATATGCAGCAGTTAGTTATCAATCACAATAATGCTGCATAACAAGCAAACACAAACCCTCAATGACACACAATGTGTGTTTATTTCTCACATATCTAGGAGCAGCTCAGGATTAGCTAGGTGGCTCTGCTTATCTTTACTGGGCTCATTCATGCCTGGGGATTGCCTGGCTGTTAGCTAATGTTGGCTAGTTATAGCTAGGGGTGGGAGGCTCTTATCTACGTGTTTCTCATTCTCCTGAGACTAGTGGACCTCCTCCTTATGGTGATGGCAGAAGTGCAAGAGAACAAGTGAAAATACACAAGGCCTCTTGAGGCCTAGACTTGGAACTGGTATACTGTCGCTTGCACTTCATTCTGTTGGCCAAAGCAAGTCACCTGGGATGGGGACTATACTCCACCTTTAGGAGAGGAATTCTAAAGCCACATGACAAAGGGGATAGATACAGGGAGGAGTGAAGAATTAGGGGCATTAATGCAATCACTATACCACAGTATACCACAATACATAACTGGTAACCAAGGAATTCTCTTCCCACTGACATATATCCCACACATCCCCATAATCGCTATAAAACAGTGGTATATCCTAAGGAAAACTAAGCTGTGGTCTTTGATGAGAGGTACCACCTTCTGGCATTGGAAAGCTGTTTTGCCAGATGTGATATATGCCCCAAACATACAATGTATCCATGGTTGGAACACGAAACGCCAGGAACAAAGAATTGAAACAGATGTGTACTTCTTTCCATTATATTGAATTACCCACTCTGAAAATTCTAGCTTTCTATTCGTGCCACGGGGAACTCTGTTGATTTATACTACCCAAGGGAATTTTTCCAGCAGGAAATACAGTAGTTCTGTAGAACTGGAGGCTGAGACTGTCCTCTAGCTTTCTGGGGTTCCTCTTACCACTAGACAAATAGGCAAAAAGAGGATTATGGTGATAACTGAGGTTGGCTCTAACCATCAAGTAGAAATATGGTTGGTTACTGCTTATTTGGTTATGCCTTGTCATGTAACAATTCCAAAACTTAGTGACTTAAAATAACAACCAACAATTATGTATTTGCTCACAGTTCTGCAGTCTGGGTTGGGCCCAGCTTGGATGTTCTGCTGTCTTGCCTAGAGTCACTTATGCAGTTACAGTTGTGTATCTGGAGGCTCAACTGGGGCTCCCTGAGAAGTTGGTCTCTATCTTGTGTCAAATCAAGACTTGCTGACCAGTGAGGATTTTTCGCAGTCAAAACCAGCCCATAAAGACTGGGAAAGGTAGCTGCTTCCTCAAATGCACAGACAACAAAGCAAACCTACAGGGGAACATGAATAATCAAGAAAACACAATACAATCAAAGGAAGAAAACAAATCTCCAGTAACCAACCTGAAAGAAATGGAAATCTATGTATTACCTAAAAAGGAATTCAAAATAATCATCTTTAAAAATCTCAGTGAGTTACAAGAGAACATGGATAGAC